ATTAAAAAAATTATTTTTTTAATTATTTTTTATCCTTATAATTTTTTAAGTTTTTACTTTTTTGAATGACAACATAGGGTTTTAATTTTATATTCTAAAGTAGAATATTTTTCTTAGTATTTTGATACATGAAAATTGAATGTGGGGCGAGTAGTTTATGAGTTATAAGTATTTAAAGTTTAGACGAGCGGAGTGGAGTGGTCCGGGGTTACCCCGCGAAATGTTTGTCCACTTCACCGCTCGTCTAAACTTTAAATACTTATAACTCATAAACTACTAGCCCCACATTCAATTTTCATGTATCAAAATACTAAGAAAAATATTCTACTTTAGAATATAAAATTAAAACCCTATGTTGTCATTCAAAAAAGTAAAAAACTTAAAAAATTCTAAGGATAAAAAGTAATTAAAAATATAATTTTTTAATAAAAACGTTGTTTTATAAGCGACTTGAAACTATGTAAAAAAATATCTTCAAAAAATTTACACTTTTTGAAATAATGAGTGTTGTTTGATAAAAGAATCACCCGGTATATATATATTTATTTATTCATCAGTATATTAGAGTATAACATTATTAATTAAAGTAAAAACTCTTATTTTTAGATAATAAAGGTTTTATTTTTCACCACTTAACAAAAACATTTTACTTTACTATACAAAAAAAATTACTTAACTATGAAAAAAAAAAATTATAAAATATAAAAATTATACCTATCAATGACTGCGCTGAGTCTGATGAGTAGCTGCTAACGTGGCGATGTCTAGTTCGATATTGGTCAAAGCTAAACGTAGATCACCTTTGTTACAAATGTCCAACCGATTTCTTTGTTTCGTCAAAAGCTGAACAACAACGCTGAATCCTTTTTCAACTAGATAGGTTGACGGAAAAGTGAGAAGCAACAATTTAACTTGTTGCCATAGTTGTGGATTTCCATCTCACGTATATTCACGCATTATTGTCGTTACTGATTGCTCAAAAGTATTGGATTTTGCCCAGCCGATCCGCTATACGCCATATCATATTCAAATGCGTCGTTTGTGCTCGACATCGAGCCACCGCTCGACAACCAATTATGGCCGAGTTACCGTCGTTCCGTGTTCGCCCGTGCCGTCCGTTCAGCAACGTCGGTGTCGACTTCGCTGGTCCATTCCAAGTAAAAGAATCTCGTCGTGAAAATGCTAAATCGATAAAATGTTATCTTGCGGTATTTGTATGTACCGTTATTAAATCCGTACACCTAGAAATAGTATCAGATCTATCTACAGATGCTTTTATTTCTTCCTTCAATCGATTCATTTCTCGTAGAGGTATTCCATCGAATGTTTATTCGGACTGCGGGACCAACTTTCAAGGCGCCAACCGACAACTCCATGAAATATTAACGACCACAGCCAGTCGACTTTGGTGGTATTTGGGAGGCTGCAGTCAAATCTGCTAAATACCACTTAAAACGGGTTACCGGTGTACAAACGTTTACATTCGAAGAAATGTTTACTATCCGTGTGTTCCTCATTAAACTTGATGGTTAATCAGATTAGCAATCCGATGTTTTTCGATGTTCCTTGAACAATCTTGAAAATCAGATGGACAATCTGATTGCTCCTCGATGCATCGAGAGCAAACCTACTAAATAAGGTAGTGCGCTAGGCGATGACATGATAAGGTTTATCATCAAATATTAAATTATCAATTTAATAACTGATGATAAATATATGAATAATATAATTCTATTAATAAATAATAATTATAAATTAATTTGTATTTAAATTTTTTCAATTGTTTGAATTGTTCAATATATTTCAATAAGTTAGATATTATTAATATGGCCGAACAGCCCGAACAGCAATCCCTTCAAATATCTATACCTTATACTGAAAACAATGAAGAAGAGGTACTATGTGACTTGATATCCCTAAGTAGTAAGTATACCTACCTACCTATATTTATTTAACACGTTGGTGGAGCAGTTTCGTTTCTTAGGGCCCGTTTTTCAATCATAATTTAAACCTCGGTTACGCTTGAAAAACTGATTTTACCGGCCGAATTCAGTGGTTTAACCGGAGTTCAACTATTGTAATACGGGCCCTTATGGCTTCAAGCTACATTAGAAATTTTCTAGTGTCCTATTGAGTATTGTAATTTACTAACAATTTCATCAAAAAATCAAATATTCTAAAATATCTTTTGTTGCGTGCCTATTTGTTATATTCAACTCCAAAAATGTATGTCCAATAATAACAATATAATGCAACACTTAACTCGTGTTATAAACATTTATTAAAACTCAATACAACAAATACTTTAAAATTCACAAATAGATATAACGTTTAGCAAAATTACCTGAGGATGCTTAATGTGCTGGAGCATAAAAGTCTGATCATTGGTTATTTTAAGTCACATGATTATAAAAACGAAATATCAATTGCCCTTTGGATTAAGGCATTATGCTGATTTAGCCAATTTTGCTACAATAGCAATTCTACGAATTGTAGTATACTAGTATATAAGAATGGTGATTATTAATGTACGTTATATTTTGTCATTCAACATTTTTGGAACTAAAAGTCCATCATGTCTCATTGACTTATTCCACGAGTGCGATACATCAAGTATTTCTGTTAAACATATTTGAATAATGCAATGGTTTTATTCTAATTTAATCTATGATATATAATTTATCGTGTTTTAAGTTAAGTGTGTGGGAGACTGACCTATAACACTCTAAAAACTTTATGAACACACAATCAGTGACTCCCAAATTACAGTCTTGTGTATAACTACTCTTAACTATATCATTCATGTCCATCAACGTGTTAATTACAGAAATATTTTTATAATTTTTAAATTATTGTCTAGATAGTGAAATACAACAGTCTTTTCTGTCGAAAAGACTGTTGATAGAACATGGATTTTTGGAAGTCATCAGTGAAGATGAAGAAAATCCAGAAGTTGTAGTTGTAGATCCGCCTGTAGAGGAAATAGCCATGAAAGACTTGTCAACTAAACAAGTACATTTAGGTAAGAATATACCCAAATAAATCTTATAGGTATTTTGTACAGTTTTATCTTTTATTTTATTTGGATTAAAAATTAGTTTTCTGATTATTTAATATTTATTAACCAATATCATTTTATTATTATTAGAAAAATTCAAATGGAATAAAAGTTCAATCGAACTTTTGATTGAAACTAGGGCTGAATTTGATCATCAGTTTTATAAAAACAAGAACAACATTTCCATATGGAAAAAAATTTCCAGTATTATGTGTGCCAAGGGATATGTTGTTGTTCATTCTGATGTCAATGATAAATTTAGAAATCTTATGGCTACTTACAGGTAAGAAAATATTTTTATTCAGTCTGTTACCTATTGGTTTTAATTTAAGATTTTTAAATAATAAATAATAATAATGTTTTATTTGGCCTTAAAAACAATTAAACATGAAATAGTAACAATGTTACCAAAAAAATGAAATTACTAAAATAGTAACTGATAATATAATAATAAATGTATTTGGCATAGTAATTCCGCACTTACCCAGGGCTGAGTGTCCTTTCATATTATTAATAGTATAATTAATTTCTTAATTGATCAACACTTTATTTTAAATATGGTTTAGAGCAAATCAAGATCGTGCATCTCAAAGTGGCGAAGGAGCAATATCCTGGGAATATTTTGGAATCATGAAAAATCACTTTGGCCACAAAGACTCAGTCTCACCCAAAAATAAGCAATTATTTGAATCAAATATCACGGATAAACCAGGAACTTCAACACAAAGTATAGTTTATAACTCTGCGCCAAAATTATCAGCTGAATTAAATTTGAAAATAAGCAAACCTACTTTAAAAAGGAAATGCATCAGTCAGTATGAGTCACAATCTTCTTCTTCTTTGGTGAACACTAATGTTGAAACGGAAATCAACACAAGTCAGGTAAATGCTGCTTACTCTGACGATTCCGATTCAGTCACATTAAAACCTTTAAGAGGTAAAAATAAAAATAATATACCATCTCAAATATTAGATTTGTTGAGGGAAGAAAAAAAAGAGACGGCTGAAAACAATAAATTGTTTTTTAACTTAATGGGGCGATTGGTAGAATTGGAAGAAGAAAAGTTAAAAGTTTTAAAATCTAATTCAATTAGAGAATAAACTTATTAACTTATTAGTTATACAGTTAATGATTATCATCATGTACAGTTAATATGTACAAACAGAGTACTTACATTTTTTTTGATTTCATAGTTTATTTGTTTAGTTTTTTGTTAGGTATGAAGCAAAAGATTTTTTATGTTGTTATATAGTTATTTTATATGAAGGAAATCATATATTATTAAATCATTATTTTCAATTTAAATATATTACAAAATATTTTTTGAGACTGATATGATCTCAATAATTTGTTATAAATAATAAAATAAATTATTATTTAAGATTTGAGACTGAGAATAATTTATATGATCTTAACAAGTGGTTATTTATCATAAAATAAAATATTAATAAAAATAAATTTGTTGTTTTTTTATTTATTTAATTATTTCCGTTGTAGTATACATTTTAAAAGTTAAGAAATACAATAACTATTTTTACTACTTTTGTTTTGTTTTTGAACTGAAACAAAAAGACAAAAATTTGTATTGTCTAATTTTCTTCGTAAGATATTTTTTTAATTAATACTGGGTTCAAAATCTGAAAACACAATAATAAAATTGTATTATACATTTTGTGTAAAAGGGAAATATGACAAGGGAAGACACTACGAGAATTAAAAACTGGAATACTTAAACTAAGCTTGTTTATTAGAACAAGTGAGTTGATTTGATCATCGATGTATTATTTATTATTAAAACCCAATACATTTTGATTAATTTATAACTAAGACATTTTCTGTTAGGAGTGCCATTGTAAATATAAATAGTGGATAGGTTTTTTATGTTTTGCCCCTCTCATAAATTAGCCCTGCGCCACTGTATATGGTACTAATTATAATTACTTACAAACTTGCTAAACTGTTTCTTTTATTAATACCAGTTATGTCTTGTTGATTGTTAAAACCGTCATTGACAAATTCATTCCTAATTGTATCAGTGGTTGAATCAATTGGTACCCAAGTATAATCGTCATTATTTAAAGCTATATTGTGTAATATACAACAAGCAGTTACAGCTTTCGATATATTATCCACATTTTTCATACACACACTCCTATATAATTAAATTAATGAAATATTAAATCTTTGGCCATTAAGGATGTTGTATGCCACGCTTGTCTGTCTTTGTCTAACACATGTGGAACATAGGAATAACGACCTAAACGCCTAACACAAATTAAGGTACTTCTAGTTGTTCAATTGAAAATATGTAAAGATGCTTGAATTGGTATACAAGTTTACTTTGCATTGGTCGAAGCATATTTAAATATTTACCTTAATTTTCGTCAGGCGTTTATGTTGTTATTCCTATGTTCCAAGTGTGTTAGACAAAGACAGACAATCGCATGCAACGCCCATAAACAAACTGAATAATACAAATATTAATATGGAGTGTAAGTTGAAATAACATTTGGATCTATATACATAAGACTTACTTCAAACGTCTGAAACGACCTAATAATAGTCCAAATGCCTGCTCTATTACTACCCTTGTTGAACTTAATCTTTTATTGTAGATAGCTTGAGTCGGTGTCAAAATTTTTCTTTGGCGATAGGGGGTCAAGAGTCTTTTTGACAAAGGAAAAGCTGAATCTCCTAATAAAGTTCAATAAAAATTAAATTTTAAAATAATGTTTCATCACTGAATACCAATATGTATTTATAATACCTACATGCAAATATAATTTTTTAATTTACCTAAAATATGGTATTCTGTGGGAAATAAGGTACAATCGTCGGCTGTCAAACATTTACCAAGAGTAGAATTTCTGTAGACACGTGCATCATGAGAAGACCCAGGCCATCCAGCAAATACATAGGTAAATTCAAGATTTGACTTACAAACAGCCTGCAATTATTATGAAAACGATCAGTTTTTAGTTTTTGGTCCAAGAACAATGCTAAAAATGTATTATTACTAGAAGGACTATTGATTGAAACATCTTCCTGTTTGTGTAGTCTTTTCTTTTATTCAGAGGTACTGTAATTCGAATATGACATCCATCAATAGCGCCAATAACATTGGGAAAATTATTGACCCTTAATGTATTAAAACTATTTGCTACATCTAGAAATATTCATTATTTTAAATAATATTTATAACTAAAAGTATACTCAGAGCATTAATGTTATTTAAAAAATTACTTATTAAGTTTGATCCTTTTGGCCAAATAATAAAATCATCACACACTGTACATATAATATCTATAAGATAATGAACTGTCCTGCAAGCATTTCCACGTGCTACATCAAAGCGATCACCCAGCTGCCTAAAAACAAGTTATTGATAATATTTTATTAACCTACATATTATTCTGACATCTATACACATATAGAAACTTAAATTATATTAATAAGCAGTATGCACATCTCACATAGTTTAGCACAATACAGTTAATATTTTTCTAATTAAAATAGGTAGTTACCGAAATGTTTCATTATTTGATAAGTACCAAAGTGTCATGAGAAGTGCTCTGTAAAAAGAAATGCGTTTTTGACCCAATATATAATTTCCTTCATACCTATTAATGATTTTTGAAGATAAAATCTAAACAAAAATAAATATACATTGGCTATAAATTATTAAGATAAGTATTGTAATGTAATGACAAGTCAATTATTTACTTTGAAAGTGTAATATATTAGTTAATAGGTATATAAATAAATGCAGTAAAACTTGCGAAGATGCTCTTCAGGGAACCAGTTCAAAAGAACGTAATGCTTTATGTGGGAAACTGAAAGCAAGTTTTACTTTAATAATGTCATAATGTTGAAGTTTACATACTAAAAAAATTAAAAAAAATAATAAAAATAAAGTCTAATTGCGCCTATGGTAAATTACATACTTCAACAGAAGATCTTCAGAGACGAAAATGACTTCGAAATTCAACTTCATTGTAATTGGACACGGTACTCATAAAGCATTTTATTCGACAGCCCTTTTCTTTCAATAATAAAACAAGACACTTATTTATTTTCTTTCTATTATTTATTCGAATATATGTTTTTAATAAACATAACAACAATTTATTCGAAATATCCATCTTGATTTCTTAGGTGGGTACCACAGATATATAATAACATGGTGGGTACTTCAGTACTTAACGTTTACAGTTTTTAAAGTTAAATTACAAAAATGTCATAAATAAGTACCTAAAAAATATAATACACAATACACATGATAACAAGCGCCTGATAACATAATCTGTGTTGATATCAAATTATTAAAATTTATTTATTATAAAAATGAAAAGTGTTCCTTGATCGTCAATCCGATGCTTCATCAGATGGATAACTAGATGCATGTCAATAATTAATGAGGAACACACGGACTATCCACGCAAATCGAGGCCATTCTTAATTCAAGACCTCTGACCGTTTTATCGTCCGACCCAAATGATTTACGCCCACTGACACCGGGCGATTTTTTAATAGGACAACCGTTAGTAGCGTTACCATCCCGCGATTTTACATCAATACCGATAAATCGATTAACTCGGTGGGAATTAATTTGGGAATGCACCCAATCCTTTTGGAATCGGTGGTCGTCGGAATATTTATCTTCACTACAGCGACGTACAAAATGGACGCGACAACAACCAAATGTTATAGTTGGGGACATTGTAATAATAAATATGCCTCATAAGGCACCAACGCATTGGCCTTTGGGACGCGTAAAAGAAGTTCATCTCGGTACCAACGGCATAGTCCGATTGGCCACGATCCAAACAGCGGATGGAATAGTCAAGCTCCCAGTAGTCAAATTAGCCGTATTACCCGTCTCTGACCATCCTTCCTGTTTATCTTTATTATTTAAAAAACAAAAAATAAAAAAACAAAAAAAAATGTTAAATCGAAAATAATACTTGCTCACTAGGTACCAATAGGCAATAACTATCATACCATGTGGCGTATAATACTAGTCAGTCAATTGTAATTTGTATGTAAATCATGTAAGCTATGTAGTATGTTTAGTTAAGTATGAATAATTCAATGTTATATATTTGTTATTTTACTAAATTGCATTTTGACACCTTTATGTACCAACACTATGTATGACTGGGACTGCCAACTCTACGATCCAAGGCCAGCCATCTTCACTACCGTCGCCAGTGCACACTGGAAGACACACCACTTCTTCCAAGGGGGAGTTATGTTGCATAAATATACAACATAGTGTCAGACGTATACTCATGACGTATATATAAACTATATATTTAGTGGGGTTGTTATCCGCCTAGCTAAAAGGTCAACGCCGGGCTGTTAATATGTTAATATTAATATACCAACACGACAGTGGGTATGTTAATTTGTTAATATTAATATACCAACATGACAGTGGGTATACGATGCCCGAGCTTGTGACTGGCGTATGCTATTATGTGTATATTCCGCCCTTTTGTGTGGTTTTCACTCGTTTCCCATTATTACGTCGATTAGTGCACGCGGTTTCGCCGTCCTGAATTCCACCTTTAAGTGCGTGCGGTTTCGCCGTCTTATAGATATAACACACAATCATCTTCAACACAACTCTCCAGGTCCCGGTCATCGTCCATACTCAACAACACAACTCTCCAGGTCCCGGTCATATCATTTAAATTGTCACGGTGTCGTGAGTTATTTGTAAATTATATTTTGTATTATTATTTAAATTTGTGTAAAATATTAAGCTCGTGATAGCAACATATTGGTTGATTATTTTTACCTGCCTAATCCTATTATTCACTACGGAACCCCCACAGCGTGTCCAATCTCCCGATTATTGTTAAAGGGACTGGTACGTGTTACAACGACTGTGAGGCACAACTTGTTTTTAAGCAGGTCGGTTACGAGTATATTTTGTTTGACAATAACGGAAGCTCGGCAATATTAGTGACGAGCAACCAAGAATATAACGAATGGTATTACCAAAATTGCCGTAATGGCGAGAAAAGAGAACGAGAACAATGAAAAACTTACTTACCTCAATGGTGACGAAAACAATAACAACAATATTACAACACAACAAGTGCTAGTAATATAGGTTAATTAATGACAAATAAAAACGATGAGTGGAAAACAAAGAGATTAAAAAGGATCGAATCGCATGTTGACGGCGGCGCGATAAACGACATTTCGGTGTGGAGCGCAAACATATACCATGTCCCAAATTGTATAATTGTTGGTGTTCTTCCAGGCAAAGTGTAGTAGATAGATAATATAAGTAATAATAATTATACTGATAATTTGTTACAGAATTTAGTACTGATTTCAATATTAGTTGCTAATTATAGTTTTCTAATTTTTTTTTCTTATTGTTCACTATTAATTACCAAGCTAACATATTTTACACATAAATATTTATTTTGAATTGTATAAGTTTTAAATTTCTTATTTAATGGAAATTATTTTATATGTATTGTTTTTCAATAATTCAAATTGTATAACCTTTATAAATTGTAAAGTAAATTATATTAATTGATTTGTTAATCGTTACGATACATTTCTGTATTTTATTTTTAAAATATACTAATTTATTATAATGGGTGATTCTTTTATCATTAACCACTCATTATTAAAAATCATATTTTTAAATATTTTTTATACTTATATTTTTTTAAGTTTATTACTTTTTTGAATGATAGCATTGAGTTTTAATTTCATATTCCAAAGCAGACTACTTTTCTGAGTATTTTGATACATAAAAATCAAATTTATTACTAGTAGCTTATGAGTTATAAGTATTTAAAGTTTAGTAGGGCGGTGTTACTCCGAAAAATAATTATCCACTACTCCAATTATCTAAACTTTAAATACATATAAATCATAAACTACTAGTCCTAAATTCGATTTTTACGTTTCAAAATACATAGAAAAATATTCTGCTTTGGGATATGAAATTAAAACTCTATGTTGTAAATCAAAAAAGTAAAAAACTTTTAAAATTATAATTATAAAAAAATTTAATAATATAATTATAAAAAATATTTAAAAATATAATTTTTTAATAAGCACGTTTTTTTTTTTAACAACTTGAAACTTTAAAAAAATATTTTCAAAAACATTAATATTTTTCGAAATAATGAGTGTTCAATGATAAAAGAATCACTCTGTATAATATTAAAAAAAAAATTTTAATTCATTATTTAAAATCATTTTTCACTTTAATTATTAAATATTGATTATTTCGTAACAAGATACTTCAGATTATTTTTGTTTATTATGTTTGTTTATGAAAAATTAAATACATAAAACGCGATGTAAGAATTTGGAACCTATTATTTCAAATAGATTCTTGGATTTATTGTACTCGTTCCGAATTTGTAACCCTAAATTTGTATAGAAGATATTAATCCTCAGACCCTCAGTCATTTTGGTTTGTATAAAAATCTCCGTCAATCAATACGCGAATCCACAATGGAACGAAAAAATAATAACAAAATAACAGAAAGCATTTTAATAGTTTTAATGGAATGTCATATTATTGTAGAATATCTTTGTATTTTAATAGTAGTAATAGTAATCGTATTTTTAGTTGTCAAATCAAAGAAACAAAAACCTATGTTTGTAAGCCAGAAATAGCAGAAACCGAATGTTAGTCTCTCTCTATATATATATATAAAGTTTTAAAGCGCGTCCCTGTTTTACAAACGTTCCTATTTTAATGGAATAGATGGATTGCTTAGTAATCATATCCATTAATTGTAAGTCAAAATTTCCGTTGTTGTCTGTGTCCCACCCACGCATTGTCAATACTCGACAAAATATGTGGAGAGCGTTCAGAATTTTAATGTCTGTTCATCGCCCTGCTCCCACCAGTTAACTATATAGATTCCACCGCCACCGACCCACACTCATAATACAAGCACACACAGCACACACCTGATTGTCAATATATTAAATCATTGAATTATTTTTGTATTGAATTTATTTTATGTTGTGAATTATATAATAATATGTAGATTACGCGTGAACTTTCGCCGACGCGACAGATAAGCACGGCGGCCGAAAGTTATCCAGACCAGTTCACGCACCGGTGTCAACGGAGAGCGCAACAATTATTATTTCGTGTGCCGGTCGCTCGTGTTATTCAAAAATATTTTCATTGTAGGCGCGAATCGTCTAAGTTGTAATTACATAATTATTATCATTGTAGGCGTGAATCGCCGAAGTTTTAATTATATATAGTATATTATAATATTGGTTGTAGGTGCGAATCACCTTTCATGCCGAGCATATTATAATATTGTGAGGCAAATCGCCATCATTAGTGTTGGTGTTCACAAAGCGCTGGACATATTATTTTATATTGTTTTATATCTTGTGCGACAACTCGCCACTGCTTATTATTTTTCATTACCTACATTAGTATTTCTTTTAGTGTTATTTATATTTCGCAAGTTGTTATTATTATTGTGTGTCGATTTTTAATGTATTATATAGGATAGGTAGCAGCTTTCCAGCCGTGCACCGTAAATATTGTGTGTAACATTTATTATTATATTCCATTACAGCTCTAATAACTGCAAAATATATATTTTATACTATTGAGCATATTTATTATTCTTAGCGGCTCAAATAGCTTATTATTTACAATTATTATATTATTGCGTCTGTTAGACCAAAAAGGGTCATAATATTGAATTTGTATATTATGCATTATATTTATATTATTGAAGCTTAATTATAATTCATCACTATTCTATAACAGATTGCTATTAAATCATTTAATTCAAATTTTTATTAAAAAAAAAAAAACAACAACAAAATTATTTACATTATTTATACAATATACATAAATATATATAATACATTCGTAGTTCGACATTCTATTTATTTATCTATCATTTACGCTTCAAAATGTTAGAAGAAGATCAAAAAAAAAACGTATGCTGATTTAAAGAGAAAACGAGGAACAATCAAGGCAGCTCTCACTCGTGTTCATACCTTCGTAAATAATTTTGACCCAATCGATCAGGCTGTTTCTCTTCTCAAGTTCAGACAGGAAGAACTTCCTCAAATAAACCGCATGTTTGATGAAATACAATGCCAAATGGAGTTAAATGTGGTTAATGATCTAGAGGGAGCTGAAGTAGAACGAGATATGTTTGAACGCGATTATTTTGAATTCAGATCTCAAATGCAAGAGATCATAAATCACAAAAAGGCATCTAGTACTACCGGCCACAATGCATCCTTTGGAAACAACTCCTTTTCTCACCGAACGCAACTGGCTCCAATTCCTTTACCAAGGTTTAGTGGAAATATTCAAGATCGGGCTTCATATTTCGACATATTCAAGGCTTTGGTACATCAAGATGAAGGATACTCGGCTGCACAAAAATTTTATCTTTTACGTTCCAGCTTAGATGAAGCTGCTCTCAACTTAGTGCGTTTGACACCGGTGTGTGACACGAACTATGAGGCAGTTATACAGTTATTAATACAGAGATATGATAACCAAAACATGGTTATACAGTCTCGTATACGTTCCATTCTTGATTGTCCACGCGTAGAAGATGCACCAGGGGCTACATTACAGAACTTGTTCGCTTGTATAGCAACTCATGTTGCAGCTCTCAAAGCTCTTAACCAACCTGTTGAGCATTGGGACGCGTGCAAAAAAAAATCGGCTACACCATCAGCTACTTCGTCAAATAAAAATATTTCGCACTCAGGGAAAAAGGAGTTGTTTGTTTCAAGTGAAATCGAGCCTTGTCCCTATTGCTTTGGCATTCACAGAATATTCTATTGCGAAAAGTTCAAGGACCTGTCAGTAACCGATCGACTTACATTCATCCGAAAAGTAGGACACTGTTTCAATTGCCTGTCATCAAGACACACGTTTGACACGTGTAAATCACTGTATGCTTGTCGCAAGTGCAAGGGAAAACATAATACATTATTACACCTCGAAAGGAGCAAAAACTAAGACAGGGACAATCATGTGTCTACTCAACCGGTTATAGAAAAAAAGACTGTGACAGAAATATCACCGAGTACATCTGCATCCTCCACACACATCTCAGCAGCCCCAGTCCATGTTTTCCTCGCAACTGCTATCGTTCACGTACAAGACAAGTTTGGAAGGCTGCGCGAATGTAGAGATGTACATGACAGTGGATCTCAGATAAAATCTATCAAAGTCTATAAAGATAGTAAGGTCTATCAAATTTGCTCCAACTATCAGGGAGAAAAAGTTCACTTCCGATATGTGGAATCTGCGCTAATCGAGTTCAAGCAGCCTCTTGCATTGATTTACGGATTGAGTCCAGAACAAGTGATTATAAGGTGGACTTAACTTGTTGTGTTCTACCAAGTATTATTTCCGACTTATCCGCCTGTCCCACGCCTGAGGAAGGATGAAAAATTCCGGAAGAGGTATCATCACAACTTTCTGACCCAGATTTCTATAAGAGAAGACCTGTTGATTTACTCTTAGGTGGTGGCATTTTCTTTGATGTCTTAGGAATGAAGCGAAGATCGTTCAATTTGGAAACATTGTGGTTGCAAAATAGTCAGTTTGGCTGGATTGTTACCAGCGAATTACGTGCCTCGTGCTTAGCTGGTGTCAATTCCTTTGGTGCATCTCTAGAGACAGATTGGAAGGCTCTGCACATAGAGGAAGATATGATCTATGGTCGACTGTCCAAACCAAATTCGAAGATTTTAGAAGAAAAATAAGTTGTGCAACATTTCCAAAGCACAGCAATCTGCGACGCCAATGGCCGCTTCGTTCTTCGATTACCAATTAAAATAAACGAGGATAAATTAGGTGACAGCATAACAATTGCGATATCACAGTTTCTGTTTGTTGAAAGACGAATACAAAAGGATCCTTACCTACACACAGAATACATGCGGTTTATGCAATAATACCTAGAGATGGAACACATGCAGGAAGTTCGCAACGAACCATCTATTCCCTCAAATTTATATTACTTGCCACACCACGCTGTTCAAATCGATTAGTAACAGTTACGTATGGCACTACTCCGGCATCATATATTACCACTCAATGTCTGGTTAAACTAGCTGAAGAATTCCGTGAGTATTATCCAAAAGCATCAACAGTCATATCACAGGACTTCTATATGGATGACCTGATGGCAGGTTCGACACCGAAGTAGAATGCTGTCGTTTACAACAGGAAGTCAGCATGATACTTAACTCAGCCAAATTACCACTCCGCAAATGGTGCTCAAATTCTCAAGCTGTGTTACAGTGTATAAGCAAGGAAGAGCAAGACCCACTCTTCACTTTAAATATAAATGACGGTCGAAGGGTCGTCCCGTAAACGAGCTTGGCCGGTGTCGAGCCGATGTCTGGTTTTATGGTGTTGTGTAGGGCCAGAAGGACGATGGGCAGGCGCTGGGACCAATGCAGCGATTCTTGCGCGGTGAGCGCCGCCTTGAGTGTCCTGTGCAGGCGTTCAACCAGTCCGTTGGCCTGCGCGTGATACGGGGAAGTGCGGACGTGCTGAATCCCGAGCATGGAATGAAGCGCACGCATTAGGTCGGACTCGAACTGCCGCCCTTGGTCTGTGGAGATGACGTCCGGCACTCCGAAGCGGGCGATCCAATTCGCCACTAGCGTGGGCACACATGCTGTCGACTGGCGAAGCTTCCGGCCAACGAGTGAATCGGTCGACACAGGTAAGTAGATACTTGGCGTTGCACGAAACCGGTAGCGGGCCAACCAAGTCTAGGTGGATATGTCCAAAACGCCGGTCCGGTGCTGCGAACGTCGCAAGCGGCGTTGCGGTGTGCCTATGCACCTTTGATTTTTGGCATTATTCGCATGTTTTAACCCACCGCCAAATTTCCCGGTTCATTCCGGGCCACACAAAACGTTTTGCAATTACCGCGGCTGTGGCCGCGCCGCCGACGTGCGTCGATGACGAAGTGGAACGAAGACTCTCGACCTGTTGTATTCTATGTCGAAGTAGACTGGCCCGTTCGCCGTCTGCCGTGCGTCCAGCTCTAAATACGACTCTGTCTTACCGGTGATTATATCTTGCAGCTCGGTGTCTCTCGCTTGATCCGTTGCCCATTGTTTGAGGTCGGGTAGTCCATCGTCGAAGGTCGCCCACTCCAGTCGCGACAGTACGTAGGGAATAACATTGAGCTCGCCGCTGACGTGCTCGATACCGTGGAAATACTGTGACAAAAAGGCGACATGACGGGCCTGCCGGTCGATCAGCTTTTCGGACTTCTGTGAAAACATGAACAGCAATGGATGGTGGTCGGTGCGGAGGGTAACGAGTCTGCCTTCGATCGCGTGTACGAAATGCCGAGCGGCGAGATAGGCGGTGAGCAACTCAAGATCGTACGCGCTGTACCGTGTCTGTGCGCCGGAAAGCTTGCGCGAAAAAAATCCGAGCGGTTGCCACTCGTTGTTGACGGACTGCTCCAGGACCGCCCCGATCGCGATGTTCGATGCGTCCGTGGTAAGGCGTAACGGTGCGTCGTGATGCGGGTGTACCAAAAGCGCGGAGGTAACGAACGCCTCTCGACCGGCTGAGAATGCTTCCCGGGCGGCATCGGTCCACGCGAGCGGGCCATCGTTTTTTTTAATCGCCGCGGAAATGTCATACAACGGCGCTTGTAAGTTGGCTGCGCCCTGGACGAATCGGTGATCAAAATTCAAGGACCCGAGAAAACGTTGCAACTCTTTTTTGGTGCTCGGTTGGGGCCACCGCCGAACCACGTCGACGCTGTCTGGGTTGGGGCGTAACCCCTGCGCGTCGACTACGTGCCCGAGAAAAGTGAGCGTGCTCGCGGCGAAAACGCACTTCGCTGGGTTAATAGCTATACCGAACTCTTCAAAACGGCCGAGGACTGCGTGGACGTGTGCGACGTGTTGTTCCGCGTTTGCGGACGCGACGAGGACGTCGTCGACGTACGCGAAAACAAAATCGAGACCGGCGAGAATGGTGTTTACTAACCTTTGGAAAGTCTGTTCTGCGTTGCGGAGACCGAAGCACATTACTGGAAACTCGAACAGGCCGAACGGTGTTGTAACTGCAGTTTTGTGAATGTCGTCGGCGGTGATCGGGACTTGATTATAGGCGCGTACTAGGTAAAGCTTGGTAAAAACGTCTTTTTCGCGAGGTTCACGGTAAAATCATGCAGGTAAGGCAATGGGTAGCGATCTGGAACGTTGACGCTGTTAAGTCGTCGGTAATTGACGCACGGTCGGAAAGACCCGTCCTTCTTGGGTAGGGCCAAAAGCCGTTCTCCTAAAAATGATAAGAAAAAGAAAAACGAGCATATCAAATAGTATCTCATACCAACCAAAACAAAAGTAAATATTCCAAATAATAATTTAATATCAGTTCGTGTGACAGCCTGTTAAAATACATTAATTACTTATTCGTTTTCTTGATCTTTAATTATTTATTAATTTTCTAAAACTTAACTTCACTTAAAGGACCAACTCAGCGAATATGGCTTTCAATGGTATTGATGCACTACGCGACCACGATTACTTACCAAGTATTATTTATTTCTATATATATGTATTAAACATTTTTTTCACACCTTTTATAAGCAGATGTACTCCTTATTATTTAGTGGTTTAAGTGTTAGAAATGGGAGGGGACATGTTAGGGACATAAGGGGCATCATATTTAATTTAAGTCTCCTAAGTCTAAGGGAATAAAACAACTCGGAAACGCTACTATACCTAGCCAAAACAATATATTTTTTTTTTCTGTGCTATTTATAGTTTATTTAAGTGAATATCAATTATATAAGTACATCCTCAAGTAATTATTAGTTATTACAAAATGCATTGTACATAGTTTCAACATAAAAAAAAAATACATTCAAAATAACACTTTAAATATTACTTAATTTCCTCTTAAATTAAATCCACTTGTTATTTTCATCGATTCAGATAATGAACTGCAGTATGAAGAGTTGATGGATTTCAACAGTTTTGAAGAGGAGGAGGAAGAATGTGTTATTGACGAAGAGGAGGAAGAAGATGATATTGAAGAAGATAACAATGGTATTTTATATGAATTATTGATATTGTTAGTTCTGCAGGATACCAATATGAATTTTATATGATAATTCAATTAATGTAAAATATTATTTTTGTACCAGGTCAACTGGCAAATATCCAGCGTCAGAGAGCCGAAACATTTACGATTTTACCTGGTGTCAGAATAAATTCAGTAGTATTTATGGATAACTTGTATTATAGGTATTATAAAAATGGTGCAAGGAACGATAAAACGTAAGTAAGGATTTAGTAAGCTAACAGATGATTCAAAAGGTATGCCTGTCGCCAAGACTGCTATGCACAGTTACAACGTGCGGGCTGCGGGTTCAGTTTCAAAATAATCGATTGTTAGGAAATACAACAATAATTGAATATTGCATGAATATTAATTATTTGTGGCATTGCATACATAATATGACACTTATATGTCAATACTGAATACAAATACATAAAATATAAGTTTTATACATTTTTATGTTGGTAATGTCATTATGGTAACGGTGTAGGGAATTTATGTTTTAGTGTTGGTATACATGATCTGAACAAGTTTTTCTTTTTTTTTCTCAGCTCTTATCAGTTTTAAGAGAACGGCTACACACTCTCTTGGGTACCAGCAAGAGAGGGCTAGCCCACGCGCTGGTCGATGGTCGACAAATACCTTGTTTTTGCATAAGTTCGAAATCACGGCGAGCGATGTCAAGCCGATCTGGCGGAAACCGTCGCGGACGCGCGAATAGGGGCTGTCCCTTTGTTTCGAGGCTGTGCTCAACTCCGTGGCGGAATGATTCAGGGACGGGCGACTCATGGGTCACGCATGGAAAGTCCTGCAGTTATCGGTCCCAATCTGGGGCGCGTCCGATGGTAAGCAGAGGGGTGCCCGTTTACGGTGTGGAGGTCACTGCACAGGTGACCGCTCGTTTGTTGGTGGGATCGACGAGGTGCTGGCGTCGAACGTCGACGAGTAGGCCGAAGTAATGTAAAAAATCGGCACCGATGATGGAGCGTGATACGTCGGCCATCTCGAAGGTCCAGGTGAAGGTGCGCGATAGCCCGAGGTCGAGGTTGAGCGCTTTCGGTCCGAACGTCTTGATCCTGGTTCCGTTGGCAGCTGTGAGGTGCTCGTCGGACGGCTGGCGAGAGCCGTAACTGTGCGGTATCACCGAAATTTCGGCGCCCGTATCGATGAGGAAAAGCTTGCCGGAACGATGATCGTTAATGTGTACCCGCGTAGAATTACTGACGACGTACAGGGCGGGTGTCATGTGCGCGCTTTTCAGTTTTCTGCAGCCGTGGCAGCGGAGTTTTCCCCGGATTTCGGCTTGAAATTTCAAGGAGGGCGACAAGTGCGCGCTCGGCTCCCGAACCTCGCGTGGTAGTAGCACGATTGAGCCGGCTCTTGTACGTCCAACTGCGTAGGTGCCCGTGGTTGCTGCCGAGATGGCTCTCCCGCCGTGCCGACCATCTTAGTGAGAGACTGGACCTGGAGGGACAACGCGGACACTGCGCCGCCAAAGTCGTTGAACTGTTCCTTCGACAGCACGTCGATGCACTGCGGGTTGGATGCTTCTAAAACGCGGTCCGCGCGCGCAGCCAGTTCGTTCAATGGCGCGTCAAGGCTGGCGAGGATGGCTGTGACGTTCGACGGGAGCTTTGGAAGCCAGAACTCCTTCAAGGCGTCTTCGCCTAAGCTGGGTGGCATGCTGCTGCGCATGTCACGAAGAAGTTGCGACGGTCGCCGGTCGCCCAAGCCCCCGGGTTAGACGATTTCGCGGAAACGTGCCGCATGCGACACACCGTAGACGTCGATGAAGCGAGAGCGCACGTCGGTGTACGATGCGGCCGTAAGCAGGAAGTCGTCGATGTTTCGCACTGCCTCTTCGTCAAGGGCTGCGACGACAAAGTTGGTTTTACTCGCGTTGGAGGTAATGCGCTGAGTCGTGAGTATGGATTCTGCGTAGCTGAACCAGAGCGCCGGTGACTGCTTCCAGAACGCCGAAAGCCGCACGTTCGATACCGGGTCGACGGTTGGGTTCACGTTGGCATTGACCCGATCGTCATCGCCCATGGTGATGAGCGCGGGAACTAACGGTGTGACCACGTGGTCGGGAAAACGTAAAACGAGCGGTCTCGGCGTTACACGGACATGCTCGACTCGGGCGATCGAGCTTCAGCTTCGTGCGTGTTAAAGACTCAAGGTCACCAATGTGGAGGACGTGATGTTATCACTGTTGCCTCCATCTAACGTTCGAGTGCGTTTGGCACTCGAATGAAGTTAAAATTAAAACAATTGTTTGTTTTGATTAACACTTAACTTTAATTGGTTAATAATAACAACTGTGGCGCGTGCTGCGCGTGCACGATACAAAAATAAATGTTTCAAGGAGCGCGAAACAAAAAAGCGCTCTACAATATTTTTAACGCGTCGATAGAGGGACGGTCCGTCACGAGGCGTTTCGCGTGGTGCGAGAGGAAAAACCGGCGTTGTAGTACAACGTAACGGATGAGGAAAAACTAACGGTATCGGAGACAGTGTCGTGGATAAAAATATTGGGTACGACGGTTATGTAAAAACAGAACGAGCGTCGGCCGCCGCCGAGGCGCGGGGACCGGCGCGAGGCGCGAACACATTGTGACCAACCGTCTTACAGTAGAACCGACAGCAAACGGAGGTTATGTGGCGCCGGTTTGCCACATATCATTTGTATTAATTTGTAATGAACTCAAAATGCAGTTTCAGAGACCTGATATAGTTAAGGAGATTACAAAAAAAAGACTCATGTGGGGGGGGGGCATGCCTTGCGTAAGCAATGATCTCTAGTTAGGCAGGTAACATATGAAGAGCCTATAGGCAAAAGACCTTTAGGAAGACCCAGATTGAGGTGGGAAGACTGTGTAAAAAGGACTTAAAAACGTTAAAACCAGGAATTAGATGGAGAGAAGCTGCAGATGACAGGAACAGATGGCAAGATTTGTATTTAGTGGCATGGTCTTAATGGCCGAAACCAAGAAGAAAGATTAATTTGTTATTTTTATTGGGCCAATTAGGCAACTATTGCCGTGATTATTATACTTACCCGTTTGTTGGGCCTTAATTTATTAATATTATTCCAATTATTACGATTTTTATGTCAAAATCTTGTGATTGTACTCAATATATTTTTACCACATATTATTATCATTTGAGTTCAGATGCGTATTTATTTGAATTCCTACCAGTCACATTAGTAGCATAAGGATCTTGGTAACACATATAAACAATAATATAACCACCATATACCAGCACTCTTCAGTCTTACTTGGCGACCCCGTCCACTTCTGTAAAGCTGCTATACACATATTATAATGACTACAGGTCGTACGGTGTGTGAGTGTATCGTACGAAGTAATACAGTGACCGGGGCATACGGCCTAATAGTATTGTTCCGTTCCCGTTTCATGTTCCTGAACAATGTCTGTATTTAGTAAATGAGAAATGTATAAGTACCTATAATAAAATTGATACATTTTAACAAGGGAGATCGACTTTTCAATCGTCCAAGATAGACCAGTCAATCACAATTGACCATTCGACCAACCATAGGGCCTATAATAGTAAACCCCGTTATAATTCACTCGGATCTTTCAACATTGATGCATACTAATTATTGTTTTGCGAATAACAGCCAACCGGTACTAATATGATAAACCAGTTACCTACGTGTAACTATATCTAGAATTCAGCAATCATTACCATGGATATAAAGTAGGTATAAACATTGAATACAAATCATTGTTAACACATTTACAAATCCAACACAACTTAATTTTATATTCTTTTTAAAACTTTTCAACAAATAAATTTACATAAATAATTAACCAACTCAATACGAAAATCAAAAGAACACACAATGAATTCTAATAATAACTACACTAGCAAAAGAAATTCATTTTTAACTCGGTAAGCAACCATTTTTAAATCAAAAATATAGAACTAAATC